CCCCCCCCCCAACAAGCCACTGCCACCACAGCCTCAGTCCCAGGGTCTTCCTGCAGGTGGAGCTGAAGAGCCGGGAGGCCGAGAGCCTGCAGCAGCAGCGGGACCAGTACGTGAGCCACCTGCAACAGTATGTGGCCGCCTATCAGCAGCACGTGGCCGCCTACCAGCAGTTGGCTTCCGACAAGGAGTTGCTGCACAAGCAGGTCCTGCTGCAGACCCAGCTCATGGATCGGCTGCAGCACGAGGATGTTCAGGTCAAGGTGGCGGCCGAGAAGGCCCGCCAAGAGTTAGAGGAGACCCAGGTGAGGGGGTTTGAGTGCTGAGCCCCCAAAGGGAGGGCCTGCCACCTGTGTCCCTTCTCACTCTTTCCTGGCCCCTCAGGGACGCCTGGAAGCTGCCACCCAGCAGAACCAGCAGCTCCAGGCCCAGCTGAGCCTCATGGCTATGCCTGGGGAAGGTAAGTGGGGGTGCCCAGGGGAAGGGGACAGAGCCCAAGGAAGAGGGCGACTTTGAGCAGCACCAAATTGAGTGCGAAGGGACCTTTAGGACAGTGGCTCCTCTGGGGACGGGCTGGCCCGAGGTCGCACAGGAAGGCGGGGTAGAGCCGGCCCCGAGCTTTCCTCCCCTGCTCGCTCCACCTCCCCTGTTGGATCGTCTGAGGAGTCTCCGGGTGCCCCGACAGGAGACGAACTGGACAGTGAGGAGAAGGACGAGGAGGCTGCCCGGCCCAAGCTGAGCATGCCGGAGGGCCTGGAGAGCCGAGAGGCCATGGTGAGCGGACCCCCGTCGTTGCCCCTTCCTTCCCTGTCCCACCTTCCTGCTTCCCTCGGAGGTCCCCTCCCCGCCCCCGCCCCCCCACCCCGGGCACCCTTCTTGCCTCTTGGTTTGCCTGCCTCGACTTCTCTTGACCCCCGATACCCCCGGGAGCCAATGGTCAGCTGTGGCACCATCCTTGAACCACGGGTGGGCCCACTGAGGCCGGGAGAGGAGGAGCTCCTCTCCGCGCCCCCTGCTCACCCTGAGTAGCCCCCACCAAAAGCACGTCTTGCCCGCAGGTGGAATTTTTTAACTCGGCCCTAGCCGGCGCCGAGGAGGAGCGGGCCCGGCTGCGCGGGCAGCTGAAGGACCAAAGGCTGCGCTGCCAACGCCTGGCTCACCTGGTGGCCCCGGGCCCGCGCGCGCCGGAGGAGATGGCTGTGGCCCCCGGGAGCGGGGGCGACAGTGTGCCTGGGGAGACCCACCAGGCCCTCCAGGCGGCCATGGACAAGCTGCAGGTGAGCGAATCTCCTGCGGCTCTGCCGGCAAGGGCAGGATGGCTCAGGCGGGCTGCCGTGCCCTGACCCCCGCTACTCTGGCCGCAGAGCCGATTTATGGAGCTCATGCAGGAGAAAGTGGAGCTGAAGGAGCGGGTGGAAGAGCTGGAGCATCGCTGCATCCAGCTTTCTGGAGAGACGGACACTATTGGTGAGCGGGAGGGCCAGCGGCCGGGGCCGGCGCGGGGCAGGAGCTCTGGGATGGGGCGGGAGCCTGAGCGGCCGCCCATCCACCCTCCCGCAGGAGAGTATATAGCCCTTTACCAGAGTCAGAGGGCACTGCTCAAGGAGCGGCACCGGGAGAAGGAGGAGTACATTAGCCGGCTGGCTCAAGACAAGGAGGAGATGAAGGTAGGGGCCCTGCGCGTCCCTGGGAGTGGGGCGGGGCAGGGGTGGGGCTCGCGGGGGCTCAGCACCTCTCCCTCCAGGTCAAACTGCTGGAGCTGCAGGAGCTGGTGCTCCGCCTGGTAGGCGAGCGCAGTGAGTGGCAGGGCAAGTTCCTGGCCACTGTCCAGAACCCTGCTGGGGACCCCACTGCAGCGCCCCCAGCCCAAGAGCTTGGCGATGCCAATGGCCAGGGTGGTGAGTAGAGCCCTCGGGGGCGGGTGGGTTGGGGGGCGGTGGGGAGAACTCGCACAGCACTCAGAGCCCTGCCTCTCTCTCCCCCCGAAGATCTTCAAGAGGTGAGCCTGGCCGACAATGATGGTGTGGCACCTCCCCAGGGAGAGGTCCTGGTGGGCCGCAGTGCCCCTGAAAACCCCACCACACAGCAGATCATGCAGCTGCTGCATGAGATCCAGAACCCCCAGGAACGCCCAGGCTTGGGCAACAACCCCTGCATCCCCTTCTTCTACCGGGCTGATGACAATGACGAGGTGAAGATCATGGTGATCTAAGCACCTGTCACCAACAAGCAAAATCTGAAGAAATGGGGCCGGGGGCTCTGCCCCCACCCTCTCCCTACCACCCTATCATTCCTTCCCAGTTGCCCTTTTCTCCCTACGCTAGCAAGATAGAACCCCTAAAGGGGTATGATAAGCCCCCTAATGGGGGGAGACAAATCGGTGCAGACCCACTTGCCACCTTGGCAAGAGCTGTATCTTTATATCTGGACTGTTCATGGTTCCAGAAAAATAAAGAGCCGGAGGCTCAATAGATACAGAGTTTATTTAGGAGGCTCCCTCTCGGGCTCCCTCTCTTGGGGAGCAGGGGCTCCCTGGTGACCTCCTCACCCCTACCAAGCAGTCCTTCATTCAGAGGGGCTCATGCATCCTCTATTCAGAGGCACTTTGGGGCACAAGTGCCCCCCCTGTCCCGCTAGACGACTGGGCAGCACTCTCCCAAGCCTCTCTGAGGCCCAGCAAAGGCATATATAAGCTGCTGGCGGGGTAGGCTCCCCCCCTCAGTGTATATACTGTACTTCTGTAACATTTTGTATATTCTGGAGATCGGGCAGCCCCTGTATCGTAGCAGAGGTTGGAGCTGGCAAATGCGGAGCAAGTTCTATTAAATATTTGGGGAATGGGGACACTTATTTATTGATAGCATAAGACAGAGGAAGACAGAAGAAGGAGGCGGGGACGGGGTTCTGCCCTGGTGATTCGACTCCTATGGGTTTGCTTTTTATTTCAGAATAAAAGGATTTAGCCATACTTGGCCTTGTGTGTGCCTGTTTCCAGTCACTGGCCACCAGGGACTGGGGTCTGTGCTGTGGGCATGGAACAGGGAGGAGATCCTGCCAGCAGAGGGCAGGCTTCTGGATTGTGCGAAGCCCCAGTGTGTCTGAGCCTGAGCAGAGCTTGTTAGAGGTGGGCCAGGCCTGTCACCCCCATGCTGCTTGGGGATTGCCCTGCCCTGGGATTCTCAGGGGGCATTCCTGTCCTAATGGCCCAGAGGCTCAGAAGCCCAGAGGCTCAGAAGCCTGATCTAATCCTGGGGAGGGAAAACAGGGTCCCAGCACCCAATCCTCCCTCCAGGCCGAGTCGGTGCCCCTGCCCCCTAGTGGGCAGAGCAGGCTTCCCAGGATGAGAACCCGTGAACCCCCAGGTGCTTTCCCAGTAGGCCTTGCGAAGGATGGGGCCTTTTACCGCCACCCCTTACAGCACCTGAGCAACGGCTGGGCCCTTGCCCACCCCTGCATCCCAGTGTTTAAGACTTCCCCTTCCCCTGAACTCCACAAAGAACACAAGCGAGCAGAGGGCAGTTTCCCATCGTCCAGAAGTGGGTTTTATTCTCAGCCGAGAGACAGCAAGCCCGGTGGTAGAGAGCCTCACAGCTGCCAGGACGGCGCCCCCCGGGCTCGAGCAGGGGAGGGACGGAAAAAGTGGCTGTCCACAGGCCGGGCTCGTCAGAGGTGGCACACTTTGGAGAGGGGGATGTCAGGGTGACAGTGTTCCCTGGCAGTTGGGCCACAAGACTCCTCAAGGACAGCATGGTGACGGATTCCCAACACTAGAGGCGAGGCTGTGGTGGCCGGCGGGGGGTGGGGGGTGGTGTGTGTGTGTGTGTGTGTGTGTGTGTGTATTTATAGTTATTTATAGAATGGGGCAGGAGCAATACCACGGAGGGGCACAAGTGTTCACCAACATCACGCCTGGATGTGTCAGCTCACCACTACAACAGACTAAGTCACAGATGAAGGGGGGGTGCTTTGGGGCTGGGGAGCCACTGTTAAGTCACAGAACAGCCGTCCAGGCAGGCTTGGAAAGGGAGGTCTCCGAGGAATAGAGGGATCTGGTTAGAGGTCGAAGGGGGGCCTGGGGCTCTCAGGACGGGATGGACTTGCCTGACCCGATCGGCTGGCAGTTGGAGAGAAAGCAAAGAGAGAACGGAGAGAAGGAGGGAGAGAAGTGGTAAGGCAAGGGCAGCCAAGCCTGGCGGGGCAGGAGGGGGGTGGCAGGGGGAGAAGACGAAGCTGAGGGTGTGGGTGAGGGTTCTGGAATGGAGGGGAGAGAGAGGGAAGGTGGGAGGAACTGGAGGTGGGTGGGGGCCACAGCTTCCCAGGGGTCTGGGGGGGGGAGGCCGGGACGGCCCTCCCCCTGCCACGCACGCCGGTCTCTCATACACCACCAGGCAGTGCACCCACAGCTCCAGGCACATGCTCGGCCCGCCCTGTCTTCCAACGTACTGGCCCGGGGCCACCCCTAGCCTCGGAGTATGGGGCCATGAAGCCCCAGGCCACAGTCACCAGTCCTCACGAAGAGAGACAGGAGGAGAAAGAACACTGTTTGAACCCGGAGGGCAAAGCTAAAAGGATGGCTGGAGGGGGGGGCACTGGAGGCCCCTCTGGGCGGGCAGAAAGCCCGGAGTCCTCAGAAGGGACCCTGGGGAGGCGGGGAGGTCAGGCAAGCCGGATACCAGCGGCCACAGGCTTATAAGTCTAAGAGGGGAGCCTCAGCTGGTCGGGGGACCACAGGTCGCGTAGGTGAGGCTGGGCCCTTCCTGCTGGGGAAAAGCAGAAGAGCAAGAGTCAGCGGCAGGGACAGAGTGGCAGGCGGGTCGCTGGGTGACTGTGCGGCCCAGCCAGGGTGGGACCCAGAGAAGCTGACTTGCCTAGGTCGGTGGACACTGTGGTCCCCTTGGCTGAAAAGCGTAGGTCACCCCGGGAGCACCAGGCCCCAGGGCCATGAGCCTGTGGGCTGGCTATGGCGCTTCATCTGGGGCCGAGGACGCTGTCATTTGTCGTGCCTCCACAGGCATGACAATACCAAGGAGGGAGGGAGATGGCCTCCGTGACCCTGCCTCGCCTGTGAGCTGTGGACAGGGCCCTCCAGCTTTCAGAAAGCAGCACCCCGCCAGAGCCTTCGCCCCGGATGGCCGCCCCACGGCTGACCCGCTAGAGGACGCGGGGCCTACCAGGACTCTGGCCCCTGAGCTGGGTGCTGGCTGCCCTGCCCCAGCAACGCGGCTCAGACTGGGGAGACAGTGTGGCACCCCCGGGACCAAGTTCCAAGGCCTCTGGCTGAGTCCGGCCCCACGCACAACCCCTTCCGAGTTCCTGCTTCTACACCATCAACCATGAGCTCTCTGCCCTCTCTGCCGGCTCCTGAGAGCCTGGGCGCGGAGCCTGCCCCAGGAACTCCCCAGGCTCAGCCCTGGAGGTCCTGAGCAGTGGCACTGAGTCCCGAGGCTCGCTGAGAGGGAGGTGAGAGAGCCAGCTGGCAGCGAGGACAGAAAGAGGAAAGAATAAGTCTGGAGCTGCAGAAGGGAGAGGGAGGGGAGCCTGGCTCTGAGGTCCCAGGTGCGCCCCCCCATGTGGAGCTGGTGCAGCGGGGGGCGGGGGGGCAGACACACCGTTCATGCAGCAGGCAGAGAGGCCCATATGCACCTACCGTGGCTGACGCTCCTCAGGGGTCACTGATAGTGATTCTGAAAGACAGCACCAAATCAACATGGCAGTTCACACGCACGGACGGGGCAGGCCTGGGGGGGGGGTCACGCACACGCACACGCCCGGGCGTGCACACACATGCTGGGAGGCCCCACGGCCCTGCATGCACACGGTGACACACATGCCCGCAAACAACACGCATACACCTCCCCCGCCTCCCACTGCCCAGCGCCCTCACTGGCCGGCACGTGCAGCACGGACGTGGGGCATGCAGCCACTCGGCACACTGAAGCACACGCGTGGGCTGAGTCACAACACAGAAGCTCGCCCATACACAGGAGGCATTTGCACCAGCTCCATGCACACTCGTGCCTGGAGTGCTCAGAGGGCCACCTGCAGTGCTCCATATGGGACTGATCTTGCTTTCTTAGGGTCCAGCTGCCATTTCTCTGCCCGAGAACCTTCCATGGCTCCCTAGTCCCCACAGCATTGAGTCCCAAGAAGACAAACTCTTCTGTGAACTTTTAAGGTTCTGCAGCCTGCCCCACCGTACCCAGGGCAAACTTTTCTTATTCTTCCTCCTTCTATCTGCACTCTTCTCTGGCCAGCGGCTCTCCTCAATGCATCCCACACTAAACCTTCGCCCGCACCGACCCAGGTGTCCCTGACTCCTCATCACCTGAGTCTTATCTCAATCAGCCCCCAGACCGCCCCCAGGTCAATCTGTCTTGAAGCTTCCCAGACTGTTCTCTTCCCCCGAGGCAGGGCCGTGACTTGCCAAGTGTTTTCCGTGTGTTAGCAAGACTGGAGTTAGAGCAGGTGCCAAATCTTCCTCTTCCCATATGTCACCCCTCAGCGCAGACCTGGGCATGTCAAATACCCTTAAGAATCTGAACTCAGAAGGGAAGTTAGCAAAACGCTCCTATAGCCAAATTTGCAATTCATGCGGCTTCTCTACCTACAGTCACTGTCTCCCTTGATCCTCACACCAGCCCTGGGAGAAAGGCAGAATGTTAAATAGCATGTGGTAGAAGGGAAACTGAGGCCCTGGAAGGGAAAGTGACTTGCCTAAAGCCCAGGATGAACCAGAACCTCTGGACTCCAATCCAGCGCTCTTGACCAATACCACGCTGCCTGCTTTACCCCATCTGCTTTGGTCATCAGATCACCGTGGAAGCAAGTCCCATCTCTGCTTCGTTTGGGGCTCATGGGGGCTAGACCCACGAAGGCTAGGCCCTACCCTCCAGCCATCTGGAAACACAGGCGGATGCTATTGGTCTGATGTGTTCTTCCTCAAGGAACGTGGCCAATGGAAACAGGACTGAGATATCAGAATGAGCTTCCTTGAAAAAGGGTCACGAATCAAGAAGGCAAATTCAAGGGAGAAGTAGAAGCCTTTTCCTTGGAAATCTCTGGGAACGGGGCAGCCTTCACCCACTCCTGCCCCAACACCCACCATGTTGGTCCAGGCCAGGTAGCGCCAGAGGCAGGGCCAAAGAAGAAAGCCATTAGACTGCCCCATGGCTCCCAGCCCCCTTTCCCAGCTGCTCCGTGTCCTAGCCCGTGCCTGGATGCCATTCTTACACTCACACTCGTGTGCACGCCCACACACACATCACACACCTTGCCGGTCAGTCACAGCCTGGCCTCTGTTCCTGTGGGCCAGAGGCCAGACACTCCCTGGGACAGCTCAAAGAGTCAGGACTCAGAGTAGCCCTGTAAGTGAAAAACCCCACATCTGGAGAGGATCTGGGTTCAGAGGTGCCCAGACCTGAGGTAGGTCACTAGGGGCTGGGAGAGAGAAGTTGAGGACAGAATGGAGAACGGAGGAGAGCGAGGAGAAAGGAGGAGGAATGCAACGTGTGGGAGAGAGAAGTGAAAAGGGAGGGAAGCGCCATGCAAGTGCTGAAAAGAAGGGGGCAGGTGGGATGAGTCCCACAGCCCCCTCTCCAGAAAGGACCACCTCCGGGACTCAGAGCTCCCTAGGGCGCAGGCTCCGCCAGCCCTCGGCCACACGTCCGGTGGCCCCGGCACCCACGTCCGAGCGCCCTGGATGGAGAGGGCCGGCTCTGGCCACACCTCCCTCCCGGCTACGCCCGCCCGGTGGTCTCTCCCACCGTATTCAACCCCTACTCACCTGGGGACCCCGGGCGGGGCGCGGTTGGGGCGCGAGGGCACCTGTGGGGGAGGGCCGAAGGGGTCAGGGGAAGCCCCCGGCCTGGAGGGCACGGGGGGCGCCCCCCCCAGGGCGGACCCAGCAGGCGGAGGCCCAGGAGCAGGGCCCCGCGACCCGGGCCGGGCTGGGGGCACGGCGGGGGCTCG